CCTACACTCTAGGCATTTGAAGCTAAACGAAGTTGAAGACCTAGAACTGTTCAGCACCCGCATGCAACGCCATCAGAGGTCGTTATTAATCACTGACCAAGGATAAGGCGAGAGTGCCTGACGGATACGGAACTGCTCGTCATAGGTTCTCCATGCGTAACCTCCTTGACGTGCAGCGCATTCACTTATCGAGAACATATATATAGAAGATCATATATTTTATCAGCATGTGTAGCATAGATGATAAATGCATCTGTTTAACGCTCAATAGATTGGATTTTATACTTTCATTCACTTTCGAGGTTTCTAAATGTCCGTCGGAACCTACCAACCTTAAAACTCTTCCACTGCCTGTCTGACAGCTCAACCGCTCCCTTTAAAAGAAGGGCTAAATTGACATATTCCCCATACAAATCTGTTGCTTGATGGAAGCCGGGACATGAGCAGCAAACTCATTCCCTGCTAAACGTATTTCGGGCTGGATATGCGAGCTACTTTGCTGGATGGACTGAATAACCGGAACATTAGAAACGTTTTCGTTAGAATCGCCAGTACCGGAAATATTATTGCCAGCACATTAGCCACGATGTCTTTCAAGAACATTTCTGTTTCTATTTTCCGGGTCCAGAACTCCCGAATCGCGAATTATAGTTTCAAAATCAATAATCTAAGAGGACCTACCCGCATTAGGCTGTAAAAGGCAGCTGTCCTCGTCGTCTGCTAAGGCAACACGTGCACGCTTTCTGCCTCGTGTATGGCTATCAACAGGAGCTGGTGGTCCGACGCTTGTCCCGGGTTGTCGGTTGTCTGTCTAGCTTGGGGAATTACCAACTACATTCCAATCCCTTGGTCGAGAGGCAGCATTTCTCCTGCCTGAATGGCTTTTTGTTCTTACTGAGGAAACGACCCTTCTCGCATGAGTACGACCACGTTGATTTAAAAACTAGTCTATTGTACTTGTTAAACTGGCTGTAAGCTAGCTGTTTGGCGAAAAGAGAGAGAGGTGCACGATTTTCACGAGTTTTTATACAGTTAAGCCTGTCTGACTTATACCCGACTTACTGAAATTAACCCAACTATATTAAACGAGTGCTGGGAACTAGGCAATACCCAAAATGCCGGACAAATCCGAATAACCGAATGCTGTAAACATACAGATTTACCGAGAACTTTGGCGACAAATAACAGTATTTACTTGAGAACAAAAATGTAATTATTGACAGTCGTAAATAATCTGATTAATAATAGATAGGATAACAACTTCCGTTTGGCACTGCTATCCTGTACATACGTGCATTTTGAAAAGTGTGTGTTCTGTTGGAAGCTTAAGGGTAATTTTTTTTTCATGGTAAGGTTTAGAATCGAAAAATTATTTAAACCTTAATCATTTATTTCAAAGAGAATGCTTAGAAATTTTACACAAATATAATGTACGATTTTAAATAATGTATTTAGCATTGATGAAAGCTTCTATTTCAATGTCAGATTTAGGATATTTTACCATGAAATTTTTATCTTAAATGTGAACCTGCTGGAACCGGAAGTGATTAGCATTGTGTCTTCTGCGCATCAGTGCAATCTGACCTGGCTCTATACTGCTGATTGACTTTTTAAAAAAATTCTTTATGATATCCTTAAAGATCCTGTATGTTATGTGATTGATATTGTTACTGTGTGTATACCACACTTGCAAAAAATTATATATGTATATAATTATGCAAATAAAACAATTTTCAAACATCGAATAATATGTAAAATGTGTATTGCAAATATTTGTGCATATTATATTAAGTCAATAAATTATACTTACAATTTATAGAAAATAAATTTCTAATTACTCCCTTTATTTGCATGAAATGTTAAATTCGGTAATATCTTTATAAATAATGCTTATTGGAACTTAAAATATTGACAAATCTTAATTTGAGCATCATATTTATGAAATAAAAAATGAAAAAATGTGTTACAGGATCTTGATTTAATAATGAACATTTCCTAAAGGTTCATTAAGCAACGTCAGCTGGTTAATTACATTGTATCATTTATTATATCCAATTATTTGGGTGGATAAGAATTTAAGTTTAAATATTTGATTTCTGCACATTAAAATGACAACTATATTTTTAGAGGTGAGAGATTTTGTAAATTGATTAGCCCTCATTAAAATACACTATAAATTAAGTTATAAATTATTTGGTTATTACCAAGATATTTTTTACAAAAAATAATGCTCTACAAAGCGTATTATTTGCATTCATTTTCATGATGATTCTACGCACTTAAAGTTTAGAATCTTTTCAAAATATTATTTCTGCGATGTTTCAGACTGTAATTAAGTTTTTAAATGTCTACAAATTTCAACGCAACTTTGCAAATCGGATTCTGTTCCCGTTTAAAAGTGATCACTAAAATTAATTGGTCACAGATAGTTAATCAGTCTGCTATATTGCCAATTTATTGGCAGTGGTATTTAGCAAATAGCAATTTCGTCTCTTTGATGTTGTTTACAAATACATAATTATCTCTAAATCTCACTTTTAGAAATAGTTGAATAAACTACGGTTCAGACTCCAAGTTTTTACTTCACAAAATATAAAGTACAATTTGAAACAGTGTATGTAAATAAGTGATGATTTGTTTACAGTACACGGTATGGTGAAAAAATGTCGTTAATGTATTACGTATAGAATTAAATAATCCTTAGATTGCTTTTTCTGGAGGGGAAGGGGGTGGGGGTCGTTTTACGCCGCACCAACACTGTAAACGTTGTAAAGGTTTTACTGATAGAAAAATACCTCAGATGCGTCTAAATGCATTATATCAGACCTGAACGTGCACCTGAGTAGAGCCAGCTAGCTGGATAGCACATGAAAAACTCGAAAACCTCTGGCGAATTCGAACATATAGCGAAGAGAGGCTAGTGGTTGAAGTCAATGACCTTGGCATCGGAAGCCCCTTTAGAATGTTAATTTTATATAGATTCACATAGTAGTGCAATAGCATTGATATAAAGTGATGTTTAAACACAATTTAAAGAAGCAAAAGAAAATGTATGACGGTTACCAATGTTAAAACAAGACTTTATCATTAATGGAAGTTTAGTGTTTTAGTGATGGAATGTGAATAACAGGTATTCGGTCCTGGTTGAGCTTTGTTCTCATATATTGTCTTACAGGTGGTTTCTTAAATGTGTAATCGTGAAAAAGATGTGATACCAGTGCATAATGAATCCTTGAACTATATAATAATCTAGGCGTTGAACATTGCATTGCACTGCTATAAAAAAAGCATGCTATTATCAACAATTCTATTACGATTTTCACATTTATTCCATCGAATTCTATGGATTTAACGTATGCCCGTGATAAAGATAATAAATTATCCATTTGTTAGGCGCTCAGGTAAAGCTTTGAACGGGTTCCGTTCTTCTCTTTTTTACGAGACTGCAATTTTTATTAATTTTGTTGTGATAAATGCTTCCGAGAGATAACCTTTTTCCAGATTTCTATAGCCCACAACAGCAGGTGTCAAGTGTCGTGTTGCAGCTGAAAAAAAGTTGCCTTGTTTATTATTTACCAATGGTAATGGTAATTATTTAATCTTATGTAGTGGTTTGCCTGCCCGTGCTCTGCCTTATGCCCTGTCCTATTTTTGTTTGGGGTCCTCCTGGGCTCCTTGCCACTGACGCTTGTTACTGAGTCGGGTGGGGGCTGCGTTCATTGAACGCCGCCTTTCCTTGTCGATCTTGTTTATCATATTTTGTACTTCACTTCAGTTTTGCTATATGTTTCTGGTCCTTCGGGGTCATTGATTTAGGTGTTGAAAATGGTGTACCGATCAAGACAGTGCTAGTGATTTATTTTTCATTATTCGTCATGTACAGACTCAATTAAACCGAGTCTGCAATTTGCATGTTGTTTTTTGTTGTGATTTATATTTCAAGGGATCAGCTTTTTCCAGATTCTTATACATGTATGTATTTATAGCTATTTATGCATTTATTTCGATGCATTGTATATTGAACAATTGACAGATGAATAATATAACAAATATTTGTTATTGCATTATGAAGATAAAGTTAAACTTTCAACTTTTCCTGCTGAATTTCTTAAATTGACTTGTCCATACAGCTACCTTTTTCTATTTCATTTTTTTCTTTTGTTACATACAATTTATATTTTTACTTTTTTGCTTTTTTTCTTCTTTTTTTTTCTTTGAAAATTAATGTTTTTTTACCAATGTTGGGGATGTGGAAACTATATATTATTCAGAAAACAGAATAAGAGAATTATTAATTATTTAGAAAACAGAATATTAAAAAGCCTGACTTTATTCTTATGCTAAAGCAATTACATGTTAATGGTTATAGATCAAATGTGCTATAGCTAAATGGTGAGCTTGTTTATCAGTTCAGTACAATTCGATTTGATTTATTGTTCATTAGCCATTTAAACTTGCAGCACATTCATTTAGTTACCAGCACATACGACTTGTAAATTCAAATTGGCAACAGAATGTCATATAAAACTAACGTAATTAAGATAAATTGTAATTAAGATCAATTTAGAAATCTACTAATCAGCAAACTGAAATGACAGCGTGTGTGTGTACTCTACAGTAACATAATGCTAAAACCTGACCTTTTAATCGGACTCCAGTTTTTAGTATAGCAAGTAAGTCAATCAGAGAACAAGATCGCCTGATCCTGTATTGATTTAGAAAAAGGCATCAAACGTTTCGTTCAGTAATATTTCAGTAATAGCCAGTGCATAGGTAGCTTTTTAGTACTAATAGGAATAATGTCCTGTTTTATTCATTACTACTCTTTGGGATCTCCGGCTTTCAGCAGTTGCATTGTATCATTAATCGGAAGATATGTTTACTGGATATAGTTTTTAAATAGACAATTGTTATAAAATCAAAAGCTTCTTTCTCAGTAACATGAGGAAAAGTACAAAACGACTTTCCATATTTCATTAATGATATAATAAACAAATTAATCACAATTTGTGTTCATTTATTATTATATATTACATTAAACATTTATCACAAGTAAACATAACAAACAAAATTATTGACCAAGTAAAAGAGATCTGATAACGTTTCACACCAAGAAAAATAATATTGCAAGAAAAATGTAGCTCTGTAATGTTGCCGAATGAAAACGGTTTGAACCACTAATTATGTTTTTACTTTTATCAGAGTTGTCTTTGCCTACAGCTGTATGGTCAGCTGTTCCATCATTCTGTGTCGATGATGTACGTTCATGTTTGTTTTCGTGCTTTCTTTTTTCACAATATTTACCAGAAACATTTTCAGGACAAATGCAGTGAAATGTTGAAATATAGTTTTTACACAATCCGCCATTTTTACATGGAGAACTATCACATTGGTTAATTTCAAGTTCACAAACTTCCCCATGGTAACCCCTGGCACAATGGCACAAAAATCCATTTCCCATTGGGGACGGCTTGCAAGTGCCTGAATTTTTACATTTTACTCCAGCACATGGATCTTGTATTATTTCACAGTATTCGCCGTGATACCCATTTTTGCAAGCACATTTTGGTCTGTTGTCGCCATCTTTATATTTACACAGCCCATCGTGAAAGCACATTATACCAGCACATGGGTCTATGGATATGGAGCAATGGACACCTCCAGATCCGGGTGGACAAATGCATTTATAACCCAAGGAAGATTTTATATTTTCTCTACACTCTCCTCCTTAAATAAAAAGATATATGGTAATAAAGTTTGTTTCTTGTATACAAGTACCTAAATAATTAGTTTTTTTTATTTTAAAGAAAACAGTAACGTGTAATATATTGCACAAATTTGGCGTTACTTTTGTACCATTCCTTTATTTTCGCATTCCTTTGTTACGGATTTACTAGGTGTGCAATTATTTTATGCGACTTATACCACATTTTACTTGGAACTATTTTAAAAACGTCTTTCGAAAATCCATATTTATTGTTGTAGCTTCACGAATTTGGGTTCAGAAACAAAGTCAGTGTTTTAAGCAGAAAAAAGCATATATATGCGAGAAAATGATCACTTCGATTCCTTTTAAAACAATAAAAAAAGTTTTAATAATTTAATTTATATAATTTTATAATAATATAATATCTTATAAGCAAGTACCATTTTCGCATGGGTGATAAGAACACGGATTGATTCTATGTTCGCATCTGTTTCCCGTAAATTTCTCTGGACAACTACAGTATCCTCCGAGCTCCCCAGTTCTGCAAACTCCACCATTTAAGCACTGGACCTCCATGCATGATAAAATCTTGTTTTCACATTGTTGGCCGTAGAACGTTTCTGCACACTGACATTCTCTTAACCCACCTCTTGTCTGTAAATATTATGTAATAATATTACAGTTTAAATAATATACGAGTAAAATCTAATAATATATTTCATTTTTATTATTCATTTTTTTCTATAACCTATATTGTTCTGGTGCATCGAAATAATCATAAGATATATTACTAATATTTAAGTGATTTCATTCTGCATACTCAAATGCCAGGACTATTTTAGAAAATTAATATAGATATAGATTTAAAGCAAGTGTTCAACTGGCGAGTTTTGATTTCTCTACTTTACAATAGGAGGGTTTTCTTTTTCAAGAAAATTCAATGAATAGTCAGATTATATAGAAATAAACATGTGCAATCTCTTTAAATAAACTGACACTGATTTTTATCAACGTAATAACAATATGTATTTACCAGACAGGATCCTCCATTTTTACAATACTCATCAAAACACAATGGATTCATACAGTTCTTTCCTCCAAATCCAGGTGCACATAAGCATGTGTAGTTGCCTAACAGGTCTGGAATACACGTACCTCCGTTTAAACAAGGCTGAGTTTTTGTGCAGTAATTCAAATCTGAAAAGAGTTATTCAGCTTTTATTCAACAAGGTATAATGTTTAAAAAAATTAAAATGCATTACTTTGTAACAAAATACAGTTATATGAAAAACAGTACTTGTTTAAGAATATATATAGTTATTTATTTTAACTTCTACATAACAATCCGTTATATTTTGTGATTCATTAATACCAATTGCTGAAAAGCAAATTCAGCACAAACTTTGCTGTTTATGTATGCAAAACATAAATATAATAATTCATTTTAATAAATTCGTATGTGGGCGTATACCTATGTCACACAAACGTCCGTCCCAACCGTCTTCACAAATACATTGGTATGGTTGGTGACAAAATCCTCGGAGACATCCGGTATGCGGTCTGCATTCTTCACAGTTCTTTCCTTGCCAACCCAGTTTACATCTGCGAAATAAATGATACAATGCTTTTTTATAATTATTTTCAGTTGAGTATATGAATATTTGTCTCAGAATAACGGTTATTGTATATTTAACATAGTGTGCTCAAAGTGGTTTTTCTACAATGGATTCATTTCACATAAATATTTCAAATACTGATCAAATCAATAGTAAAGTGTCATTTGGATATTCTTTTGAAATTATGCATAAAAATGTTGATGAAGTTCAAGTTCTTATTGATGTAGAATAAACATTTATATGATCAATAATAATATTTTGTTCTAGAACAATTTATTATCCGTTATATAAATTTAAATATATGAAATATCACTTCACACTTGCCAACAACTTTAATGTATGACTTTTAAGAAGTTCGTAATAATGTCCCAAGTCCGAACCATTAACATTAATCAACCGATGGTATCCGACGATGGTATAATACTAAATATTAATCATATATAATCATTCAGTGTATTATAGACCTTCCATTATAGACCATTTCACTGTAAGATGTATAGATATAGTGTTTTTTACATCACTTAGATAGTTATGGTATTTACTAAAAGGTCATCAAAATAATACCAAGAGTGATCATATGACTTTGGTTTAATTGAAGGCATCACGATAAGAGCCAACATCCGAAAACATTACTAAGATCATTTAAACAACCTTGTGTATGCTTAAGAAACAATAGTCAAAGAGCTGGTACATGTGTATCATAACACTAAATAAAACAACAGTTAGCAATATTTACAGAACCAAAACTTCTTGGTAAAATGTAAGAACACCAAATGAGTTTCACAATATATCGATGAGAAAAATATTTGTTATCTGCGGTTTAAAAACAAATTTGATATTTTTAAACATAAGCAATTGATGCAGATTTTAATTAATTTAAATTTTATGACATACCTGCACTGAAAAGGTCGATCACATCGTCCCTCATTTTTAAAACATTCTTCGCTACAGTATGCTGGAAAAGTAATGGAAATAAGCTTATTGGTGCATTTGACTAAGCGAATATTGGTTTAAACTAAGTGTCATTTAATGTAAGAATAATAAATGATAATCTGATAAATAAGAATTTTATTGCCTGTGATAGACTTTATAAGTAAATTTAGAATAAAAATATACTAACGTTCGTCACAGAAATGTCCTTTCCATCCATGATTGCATATTTTTGTTCCATTTGTGCTACAAGTAAAATGTCCAAATTGATCATCACGTGGTCTACATAAAACATCACATCCGTTTCCATAATAATGTCTGCCACATACAAGACGATACTGAATCCTCTGTTCGGATGTTGGTGTTATTGTTGTGTCCATTGACCACTTTGTAGTTGGTTTTAACGTGGTAGATATAAATGACTGTATGATCAGCTGGTTAGAATCTGTAAATGAATATATTACACAGAATTATCATCAAGTAACGACAACAAAGTATTTTATTTTTCAAAATTGCTCTCAAACAAATAGGGGAAATTGGTGACTATGGCAGCAATATTTTCCAGTTTTTACTTCAGCCCAAAGACAGAAAATGTATTGTTACAGATATTATCATACCTTTTACTTTAATTTCTCCTCTTAGTGCATGCCATGACTCAACAATCAATGTGAATTTACCCTGAAAATATAACATGATAAGCTTTATCGAAACCGAAATAATATAATTAACTTGCAACAATGGATCATTGGCAATTTATTTTTGTTTTAGATGTACGTAGAAAAGAAATATTTTGGTTTCACCTTTACCTTACAGGGCAATTTATATTATTGTAAATATCAAGAAGGGTGAGTGATTTTCGCAGCCACCAAACTTTTAAGTCACGCAAGGAGTACATTGGGCACCAAACAAGAACTGGACAACATTTGGAGTGCAAGAGCGCACTTAAAGGAGACAGAGGAAGTGATGTTATTTATTACAAATGAATAAATAAAACTTATGAATCCGTTAATAAAAATAATATTATGCCAGTATAATTTAATATGATTCATCCAATATTAGCAAAAGTAGTTCCTGCATTCATTTCTAACACAATATCATATTTTTAACTGAGGTGCATACATTAGATTTAGATATCTCACCAATGAGTTGAGCGATGACAAATCCTTATAATTTTTATTATTTAAATTCATTGTAAAACGTTTAATATGAAGATATGTTGAAAGTGAAGATTTTTTTCATTTTTAAAATTTTTAGTTTACTTTAATTACATTCTTATGTCTTAACGTATACCTGGTTGACTAATATCCTTTTTTAAAGGTGTTTGGTAACCCCATTTCATGTATCTATTATTAATCTGGTTAATATCCCAGTTAACATTAGTTTGTACGTGCTTTTTAGGGGTTTTTTTTGGTAACCCCATTTTTATGTATCTGTTATTGAGATGTATAATTTTTCGTTTAACGTGAACATAAATACACTTGTAGAACAGATCATATAATTTATTGTGATAAAGTCACTTACTGGCCATGCGAAGTCGATTGGAATTTTGATAATTTTATCATCGTCGGGGATTTGATCTTGAGATATATCATTTCCACCAAGAAGTGACGTCGTCGCAGAGCCATATGTGCATGAGCGGGGTGATGGCATTGACTGTAAAATAATGATTTCTTTTCTAGTTTCATATCATAACAAATTCATACATATTCTTGAATATAGGTTTGATGTTGATCATTAATTACGTACTGCAAAATTATAACCATGTGTTTCTTAAGCGTTAAAAAAGGCAACAACAAAATTAGACATGATTCCCATGCGAGACGTCTGTTCTTTCAACAAAGTTATAGCTTTCAAATTACTTGAAGATTTTGTCTTTAGGATCAGCCTTATCTAAATATAATATACCATGGCTAAATAAAATGTCATTTTAATTGGATTCATGAACAAGTAGTTAAACAGTTTGTATATATTGCACACGCTTACCTGAACATAATTCATTAGACATACAGTGAGGAATGTGTCACATTCACCAGAGCATGGTGAATACGTAGACGGCCCTTTGCAGCATTGTTCATTGTGTGTAACACCTCTATTATTGTTCAGTTTTAATAGGGATACTTCAAACATTCCTGAACACATTACCTATATAAAAGAAATACACTTTAAAGTATATTTTACAATCACACGTAATATAAAATAGAAAATAATTAAACCTTAAAGAACACCTAAAACAGCCAATGCAAGCTACCGACCGCGTCCGCTTGCATCGGATAAAGAAGAAATTAATATTTATAAATGAACATTTGGAATGTAGAAAGATACGCAGATTTTTTCATACGACCGTAGTCATAGTAAAGATTAAGAGCGCCTTGTGCGTTTTCGAAGGAAGGAAAAATTATGCCGAAAAGATAGACATACACGATTGGTATATGTCATATCTTATTCGTAATCATACCAAATAAACATGCATAATCTACTGTTTTTATGTTTAAGAATTAAAATGTCCTCATCTGCCATCTTAATGTTTACTTGTTTACTTAAAATGTATATTTTTATAAACTACGAATATCTAATACAAGTACGGTCATTAAAATTGCTACTTATGATAACTAAAACCTTATATCAAATTTTGTTTTTTTATTTCAAACATAAATCAACTAACCTTTCGGCCCACAATGCATAATACGACAATGGCCTGGAGTACCCAGAGGTGTGACATCAGGTTACCATTGAGTAACTCACAACTCAAACTGTCTATCATTTATAACTGAAAACACACAAAATTTATAACTGAAAACACACAAAAAAATGTCCGCCTATATTTTATTTTTCAATCATATATGAAACAAATGTGCGTGCATAGATAGTAAATGTTGCACGACCCAAGTCGGATTAGCACATGTTTTTGTAAATTGATCCGTCATTTGGAACAAATGAAGCAATATTTCAATAACAAACGTTATTTTGACATGATATAATTTGCGTTAAAAAGATTCAACTTCTACAACTTTATCCCAGAAATGGCAAATAATAAAGTAGTCCATAATGTTATATATCCAGCTATCCAATGGATTGCTCTATCCGTATGCTAGCTTAACATATTAAAACAAGGATTATTGTGCCTTGAATCTTCATTGAAAATAAAAAATAAAGTTTTTTGTTCACATTTAAAAACAAATTTAATTTCCATAAACTATACCAAAGTGAACCAGGAATTCTACCAACGCTGGAGTAAAGTTTTGAGTGACCTAACACAAAACATGATGATATACAGTTGGAACATCCATAGCATGACTAACAACGAGTAACTGATGTTAAATGAAAGGCTAAAGTTTGGTATAAGTATTATTTTTCACATCTTTATAACCTTATTTGACTTACTAATTGAAGTAATGTGTCTATCGTGATACTAATTCTTAGGTATAAAGACACTGTTTGATACCATTTGATCTACAAAAATGATATTATAAAGTATGTATCTTTGTTGATAACAACAAATATCTGAGTGCCATCTGCTGATAATTTGAAATATGCAGTTGTACGCGCTGTAGATAAGACAATGGTAAACATTGCCAATTTAAAACGTTTAAAACAGACAGTAGTACGTTGTAGATAGCAAAGTGTTAATGGGCCAATTTGAGCTATTTACACACAGCTAATATGAAATATTCCTATAAATTAAAACATGTATTTGCTTTCTTAGACGCATATTAGATTATATTTACGTAAAAGAATTCTTAGGAATACCCCACAATCATTATACTTGTATTTTATGCTATATTATACAATTTGTAACGTAAAATGATTTGACATTCAAAATCTTTTTTCGGTATGATCATAACTTGCGTGTTTAGTTTTTTTGTAGAGTTTTTTTCCGAGAGATAATGGTAATTTCATTATTTCAACGTAATTTCTGATTAAAACCCTCTAGTTAAGTTTCAAGCAAAGCATCAGGAATTCACTTATACACACTTAGCTTATAATGAAATCGTGCAGAGTTGCAGAAAAGTAAACAAAAACAAAAAAGGCAGACATACGCGGAACATCAATTTAAAAGGAACACCTTGCATATGTACTTTAACTATACATAACAAAATGAAAAACAAACAAGCGTTTTTGTACGAATTTAAGGATCCATCTGCGACAAAAAAAACAACAACATAAAAATAGAAAACCAATATTTCTTCAGATTCAGTACATGCCTGGAATTTTGTTCAGAATATTATTGATCAACATCTAATCAGCTTTGGTCTATTTTGTAATCAGTTTAGGTCTGAGATTCGTAATGATTTCGTGTCTAGCATGTTAGAAAGTGATGCTTGAATGTTGGACGACTTTTGGCAGTAAAATATAACGATAATTCTATTTCCAGTAAGTTAAATTACATTTGCAGTTAAATCGGTAACTTCATTCATTATTCAAAACTTTTTCATCTTCCACTTTTATTTATAATATTTACAGATCTTTCACCCAGACAGCCACGATTAGACTTTGTATTCTAAATATTTAACTATTAACTTCTGTTTTTTATTAAAAATTCTTACAACACCTTTTGTTTTCTGGCATTCTTGACACTAGTTCAATGCAATTTCATGATCTGTTTAAAGTGTGCATTCTAAAAGTGTATGGTCCATATCAAAACGTGGCGAAACAAATGCTCTATAATGTGAATGAGAAACATACATAGAATATAACCATGATTGTGTGAAGAATTACAGAACAGAAGTGTTTTTAGACTTTATAAATGTACATCATCATACACAATATAATGATTGAAATTTATCAAATATAAGTCACATTCCATATTCATATAATATTCAAATGTTAGCGAGCCAAAATAAATTGTTTTATTGCTTAATTCATAATTGTGGAAACACAAATCATATTAAAATGATAACGAAGCAAGACGTCTTCTTTTTTCTCTAACTTTATAAATTATGCAATCACAATAATTATCTACATTATATTACACAACGGATTAACCTTAAATTGTATAAGATTGTCTAAATCATAACATTGTCCAGTTTTGCTTGAATAATGTTAACTTCTTCAGTAAGTAAAGTATCACAGGTCGGGAGTATTCGTGGTTTGAAAAATGTGCAAAGTAATGTACTTAACTTTTCCTGATTATTGAGATACTTTTTAAATATATAAAAAAGAAACATTAATCAGGGTCGTTTGATGACTTGGTCAATATTATTGTTACAATGACTTAAGATGCCGCCGGAAAAAAGGACTGGAATTTCAAACGTCTGTATAGAAAGAATTATTCAAAGTCAGACATTCTCCTTCTAATGTTGATGTGTTTGGTCAAACAACCTATAGTTTCCAATAAAATTAATTATCGAAAATAATATCCGGCTGTTAAATGCATAATAAAACCCTCAAGGTCGTGAAATAATGTGGTGAAAATATAAAATATTTACTTAGTCACTGTATTTTAGTGGACAGAACAGAAGGTTATTTTATTTGAATTTCCTTTTTATCGTTGTTTTACAATTTTACTTATATTAACATTCTGTTGTTAAATATATTAAGTATCACTTTTTCGCATTATAAAACCTTCAACTCAGTTTTATATCAACAGTTATTTCATACTTTCTTAAGATTTTATTCATTCGATAAAATGCTAGTTTTTTATGTTTATCATAAATTGACCTTTTTGACATTTTCAAGAAAACAGACACACCACAATAATAAGACGGTTAAGATTTTAAATCGTCTGTTTCGGCTGTTACGACTGTTAATCAATGTTGAGGGGAAAGGCGAGCACACCAATATACGAACTCTCTACCAATCATGTAGAACACATCGTCTGGTGTGAACGTGCTTGATAAATAGGGCGACCTATCTAATAAATATCAATTACCCTGACATCTCCACGCGGCCAATTTACTATCAACGTTTTGATATTTCTTTACTACTCTAAAAAATCCAAGAAAGCATTGTTTGAGTGTCCGCCAACTTATCTCAGAAAATCGGAGAATGCCCGTTAAACATTGGTCAGTTTGAAAATGTACATGTATTATGTTTCGAAGAGGAAATATGTAGGAAATATTCAAATAAATTACTTAAAAATGTTATGTCATTAATGTCGAAAAGACATTTTGCGACTTTCTTATATGAAATGTGGAATTGTATGCATGATAATATATGAAAAGTTTTAAACAATAAATTTTGCTCATGTGAAACAATTGAACAATTGCTGTTTATTTTTTTTATATAATATAACTTATTATTTAAGTGAAACTCAAATGATTTATCGTTGCCTTCAAATGAAATATGTTGTTTCAAAACTGTTAAAACCGTCCTATTTATTTTGTGATTTAATACTATATAGTATAAGATTTAACGTTAAATAATTTTTTGAAAAATAATGTTTTATTACATTAACTGTAAACAAGATGTTCATAAAGGGTCACTCTAAGAATTATTATAACATAATTCCCTAAATAAAATATAATAATTTCATGTTAAATTTTGTTCTAAGAACACTCTTACCTTTTGATAATAAATAAAATCTCCAATTCGCGTTTACATTCCAGATTATTAACCCTTTAAAATCCAATACCAAAATTATTCATTTGCGAAACAAATACCTTCTCTTTTTTTTATTATCCTAAGTCATATATCAATAACAATTTAGCACATTACTATCACATAAACATTAATGTTTCATATACATCACGGACAGGCAATCTATAAGATGTTTAATGAACGAAGAAACAATTAATCATTTTTTTCAGTTGGATATAATTTCTCTCTAAGCTAGCAATATGTGTTTTGATGTATTGTTAATTTACCAGACACAACCTTCGACAGCGCTGATAATTTCAGAACTGTGCCTCTGTTAATGCAAAGGTAACTTACTGCCTGTATCTCTACCTTTTATACTTGTTCGATTTAAAAATGATTGCCCACGTGCATTTCTAATAATGTTTAACATTATATCTACATATTTCTCTTCTGTGCAGAAGAAGAAATTGATTTCATATTGGTACATGCTATACCAACAGAGCAAAATTGTATATAGTATATATCAAATTTATTTACTAAATCAGATCTACTGTCCCGAAATAATACAGTTCATGTTTAACATAAAATGTTTCAATCTCAACAAGAAATATAAATCACGGACATATTATGTCTATGTCGGACATATGGCAGCTGCGAAATTTAAAGACATTTTATGTCGAAAACTAACAGAATTTATCTGACCGATAACAAAACATGCTACTTGCTTCAAAAAATGATTAAATGGCAGTAAAAGTTGAACTTCTTTATCTTTTTTTAACCTATATTAATAAATTACACATAAAGTGTCAACAAACCGTACGTTTCTGGATGTAAGTTAGATATTTTAAACAAGATATTCCATAATATACTTTAACTTTTTTGACATTTTTACGATCACTCCGAATTTGTTTTATTACCTCCGACGTGTACCATTACTTTTACTACTATTGCATCATGAGATCACTATACTTTCTTTGTAACACAAAAAAAATAATTTTGGCTACCTTGACATTTTCTTTCAATTTCTCAATCATTTCACAAAGCTTATATTTCCATATCAATATGTGTGTATTTATACAGCCTGTTTGTTTTGTTCAAAGAACAACAATGACAACCTGTTTGAATATATTAAATAATATATATGAACATTGTAAATAAGACACCAATTTAGATGTAGACAAAATTATGAATTTTGATAAGAAATTGTGAGATTCCCACAACTTTTTAAATATTATAAATTCCTGCCTTTGTATTTTAAAAAGATAATTGGAAATAATAATACATCTATACTTCAGGAATTGGTTGTTGAAGTTTTTTTCTCTCTTGTATATACGCCCATAATAGACGAATTTGATGTCCATGGGAAAGCAAGGGAAACATAATTTATACCAATAAAATAGCCTGATATTTTTTCGAGTTCTTTCCTTTGTGTTGACCGAAGTTTTTGCGATAAGATTATATACGTAAATAAAGTTCATTTTTTTGTTTTATTGTGATATTTGAGAGGTTGGAATAGAATGCAAGTTATTCAAGCAAAAAAAAACAAACATTCTATGATGAGGAAGGTGATTTAGATCTTAATTTGTTTTCCAATATTTGATTAACATGATATTTTCATAGACCTTGAAATACAAAAATGTATTGAAATAATAATGAATGTCTTTTATTCGCTTCTATTTTCTATTTCCTGTGTTATTCGATATTATATTAGATTGATTTCCACGATTTATCGCTTTTAATCAAATACTTTTTCCGAAGCTTAATTTATTTTTTTTTTCTTTTAGATTAAAAGCTTTCTTTTCCAACAGAATACTACAGACTACACTGCAGCAAAAACATATCAGACAATTCACCGCCAACGCAGCGATTAGAAACAAATTCGACGACGGGCCAATATCATGCATCAAATTTTGTCTCTGTCATTTATCAGAGAGTCCTATTCATTTGAAATACAATACCATAAATTGCATTTTATTAGTTAGTTATTTTATAAATAAAGCACTGTCTGTGTAAAATTATACACAATTTGAGAGTTACATTATATATATTTGTGATACAATATCGTCCATAAACAGTCTCAATCAAACCGAGCCTGCAATATTTTCAATTTTGCAATTTTAGACGTTCTTTGGAGATTCTTTTTTTTCTTTCTCTTTTTAAGGCAGCTGCCATTAGAATATTTATCAGCTACAAGTGCTGTAAGATCTTGATTGCCCGTTACAAAACATCTTTTATTATTTCAGTATTTCAACACGATCATTTCCAAGAATAAACAACAATTTAGTTTGCAATTAACCTATACTTTATCTTTTGGCCTACTCATTTAATACCGCTTACCTTTAATTAAAGTGCAACTAAGCCAGACATCAACGTACATCGTGAAATGATGCATTACTGTGTTTTAATTATGTTGGAATGTTTACTTTGGAACTAGAAACATTGATTCAAAGATAAAGCAAGTGGTTAACCACTGTATGCACAAAATCTGCTGTTTTCTATCATACTTAAGTAAAATAATTATCAAATCGACCATACTTTCGTGCATACGAATATTTCGTTACAAATGAATATAATTTCATAAAAACTGAGTTCATTAATGACTCAAAAATAGCACCGCTTCCGTAATTAATATTGAATACTTTAATTCGGGTAAAAAAAATATCACTAATTTGTTCTTAACTCAGGTGAGAAAGAGTGAAAGAAAAATGAACGATGATTTAAATGAAAGGTAAGTTTAAAGGGCAAGAGGAACGTATGATACGTGTAACCCTTGGCTTGCTGGTTGCAACCGATTATACCTATCGGCAAGTGCAAACAACAGATGGTCCTTAGCACGTTAGCGGCGGCAACTGATTCTGTCCTTGCGCCCAGTTCAGACACAAATCAGCCGGCACATATACGTCTGATAATAGTCTGCACTGTTCGCTTTTCAGTACTTCTTTGTCTTGGTTGAAAGACTGACAATTTCATTTTTTAAGTTTTTAAGCTTAATAAGGTTAAAAACCTACATTTTTGGTATTAATTATTGTACTGTCATTGTTACGGGAGCAAAGGCATATAAAGCGCTAAATCGTTCTATTTCATAGTTAATTTAAGGATTACAATATCATTACAAATTTAATTAGTAAGACGAGATTTTAAAGAAGTATTATTACATCCGTTAAGATAAGATCAAATTAAATTTTTGACTAATTAAATAACGTAATTGTTAAACATCCTTCTACTTTCATATCGTACCTTTAAAACGCAATTTGTAGCATTAATTTTAAAACATAATAAAGTTGCATCTAAAAAACAACGTCACGTTTTCATTGATAATTTCATACATGTGATAAGGGATAATGAAAACATATACTTCATAAAATTGCAAGAAACATGCCTGCTCTAAGTGGTTATACCACAGAAGTGTCAGTTCGCCCGTGACGAACTTTTAATCAGCAGCTTTCACAACCAGAACCACAAACATGTTGATCAAGAAACACCTTCCTAACACGTGATTCATCGAATGACGTGACCGTGATCAATAATAAGGAAGCAACCATCAAACAGACATAGATTCGTGTCCAATTTATAGGCTCGCCTTTTCTCTTTTTATATATTATATAAGGGTAAAAAAGCATGAAATGTGAACCTTGAGAATACATAGTTGTGTTCGCATAAAATAGTATAAGCAACATTGGTACGAGTGCACACGTCAATTGAATTTTTTGATTTTATGCTATTTTAAGAAGAAATAAATCAAAACGAGTCCTTTTAAATGATATCAAAAGTAAGATAAGTAATCAATATGGTATTTTAATAAGGCCCGCATACGCCTTTTATGGAGTTTGAACATTTTTTTCATCTTTTGAAACAAATAATATATCTAAATTGGAAAAAAAATATTTAAATTAAAGCAGATGTTTGTATATAATATTACATGTTTAACGCATCAAAAAATCAAAGTTTTTAATACATTATATTTATTATTTATACTACTACTAATTGCAAATAATAATTATTTACTTACGATATCAAATCAATTATAAAAATGTTTATACGTTATATATACCCTTATATAAAGAGTTCTAGATGTATTCAAACAATTTGAAATAATTCGTACCTTTTCATCTAAACGTTTCAATATCCATCTCACACCGACATTTTTTAAATCAAATGCATTTTTTTTGTGATATTAGAATACTCCAGTTCATGAACGCACAATTTATTTTTTCTGAATTTACCATCATTGGTTAAGTCAATATACAAAATCTTCAAATGGTTTTAAGATAATTTTTTGTAATTTTTATTAAATATAAAATGTCTTCTGATAAGATCAGACGAAAAAATAATATCCATAACAATTATGCGTTAGGTGATATGTACTCAAATGCATTGTATGTAAAATAAGATACTTCCATCCACAGTTTTGTTAGCTACTGCTCACCGCTGACTGCTTGACGAGAGAGAGCGAGAGCAACTTAAATTATATTGGATAAATTATTTCTTGTCTATCTTTCTGAAAAGAAAAACCTGATTAGTTTGTCATTATCTCCCCAGAAATTAAGTTTTGCAACTTAATTTTCTCTCATTTGAAAGAAAGAAATTACTAATTATAAAATCAATACTGCCATCATTTTGAAAAATCACAACGAATCAACTCGGAGAAATACAGTTGAGTAAGTGAAGTGTATCTGTTAAAATGGTAACAAGCAAATTCTTCAGAGAAAAACAGCGCACTTAAATTCCAAGTTATTGATAGTGGAATAAGTACGGGTCTACGAAGAAGGGGAAACTTCCATCGTCCAACGTCCAGTTATATACTCTTTCCTGGAAATTGATATTAAAATCTTTTATAACCATTCCTAGGATTATAATAGTTGAGCTAATAACAATTCACCATTTGTTACGGTTTTCGTGCACAGGGATTGCAAAGGTTAAAGAAGCGTATGACAATCAATTGAGAAAAAAGAGTTTAAAAAAAAAAACACTAAACTTTTTAAAGAACAGCCAGAAATCTCTTTTTCTAATTTAAACAAAAGTGATACATTTCTGATATACAAACACAACTAAAGGTAATATACCTTTACGATTTGATAACTTTTTGCTTTTCAGACCAATGCAAATGTATTATATGATACTTTGTTAAACGTGTTTACAGATGATACCAGTATTTGATGTTTGCAAAAGGTTAACAAATCTGACAGTTTTAAAACTTCTGTATTCTATCGTTTTTGATAGTATATATGTAAGATACCACTTATGTTTTGATAATGAATGTTTTAAGTAGATCTGAATCGCTTCTACAATAGAAAATAAATATATCTTTCATACCTTTCTTTTATATTTAAACCTCACACGTATTTTGATAATAAAAAGTTGATATATGCGTTTAAATAGTTAGAAATCGTTTTTTAATATTTGAACTGTTTCAATGAAATGTGTTCTTGCAAATCTTTTAGAAACGTTATGACTGAAATACGATTTTGTTTTTTGAAAATTGATCATGCATGCTATTATTTTAATAACGGATACGTGTACCTTATTTATTTATTTCATACAAGGAGTCCTGTAAGAGAGTATCAGGGGCATAATTGCAATTTGTTGACGGATGTGTAAAACGTAATTGCTAAATGCTTGTTGTTTCAGAACTTTCACACCTATTTTGATTTTATTTTTTTAATGAATTCAGCTTTATCAGTAAGTAACATCATAGTATATTCCCGCTTCGGTGGGTACGGGGATACAAAATTTCGTTGATAAATAACAAAACCAAAACTATGGCTCTAACCATGTAATTGTAAGGTTCCATTTTGGTGACTTTCTATTGCTATGCACATAGACAAAAAATGAAAAAAGGGGATGATTTCTCTAAATAACTAAAAACAAAATCAAATAAAAATTACAAGCATATGTTTGTATAATTTACCTATTAACTGTTGAATATTATTTTAAAGGGCCTTAAGCAATACAAGTTATAACAATGGATACATTCATTTATGAAACAGAATAAAAGGATAAAGCGCATTCATAATCTCAATCAATCCGAATTGTAGTGTTGTCATTGCAACCAGGAGACTTTTCCCATTTCAGTATATTAATATAGTATGTAAAAGTAGAAAACCACATCATATCATTTGTAATGAACGCGATAAACACTGTTGTACACTGGATATTTATCTGTTATATACCTGGTAATAAAAGTGATAAAATTCATATTGACTATCTGGCTATTTTGGCATGCATAAGTCCACAATGACATTTGTGATGAAAATACGTGTTGATTAAGATTGCTAGAAAAAGATTGTCAATCACCGTATGGTTTAGCAATACTAATAATGCTGTAGTTGCTAAACTTGTTAGAAATAATGAAAATACGAGTTGCATGTGAATGCATGTGTGTTGTCTAATAAGAGACATAAAATATATGTTGTTATTTTTATTATTTTTAGCATTTATAAATGAAAGTAAATTGTTTTTCCTACGAATTTAAAATTAAAAATATCAAAACACTTGATTTGTGTAGCATTGATAATTAAAATGAAATATTATATGGTATTCCAAATAAGGTTTTTTAATTGTAGAAGTATTTCAAGATAATTGTTGTTATTCGTTCAGTTGTTGGTTATCTCTTATTTGTATGAATGGGCATACAAATCGCAAATTGAAATATACTTAAAATATATTCTCTCTATCCCCCCTCCGAAATTTCAACTGAACAATCGAGTGTAAAAATATTTTATTTGTAAATTTCCCACGATTCCCCACTGTTCAGCCTTGAAAATATGAAAATTAGGAATTTATTGAAGACGTTTTTTATGCAATCTAATTCGCTAAGTTCATTAGATAGAGTAGTCAACATTATATTTTTTCTGCCGTTTTGTATTATTGCCCCGCATTTTGTCAAAGTCCAGATATAATTCTATGGCGTCATATATAATCTGATACACTTTGCATAACAAACCGTTATCTTTAATCTAAAATTTGTTTAGAAAGAGGAATAAACTGTGTCTTAGAAATGAGAGACTTGATTCATGTGAAAAGAAAAAAATCCGTTTAAAAAAACAGTTTCAAACAAAACGTTACTGTTATTTTGTTGTTAACGTAAATGCGTTTGTAAGCTCCTTCAATTGATTTATTTCTAAACAATTAGTTTTAAACACAATGGAGTTTTCAGGTTAATATTGTTTGTTGTTTTCTTTACCTATAAATATATATACAATATTTTAAGAAAAGTATCGTATTGTGGCTAATGCATATGGTAAATTAAAAAAGTTCAAAGATAACAGAATTTAAAAAACACATTTGTTCATTAACCTCTGAATTTTCACTTTTATAAAATGAATTATTGAAATTAAAAACGATTCAATAAAATGAAATAAAATTAAGTTTAGCCTCGCATTGCGTGCAAAATACGTAACACATTCATACATTCATATGTAGATTAAAATCAAAGTCAACTACTGGAGTGTACGTCAGGATGTCTCTTTACAAACGATGACGTAATGATCGTATCAAAAGCATATCGTACACTATCGGGTGTACATTTTTGTATAGATATGTTGGCATCATATATCTTATCAGTGAAAACCAGATAGATTTGAAAAGATTACCTAGTTTGCAGCCAGTATATGATGTGAAAGCCGGCGAGTTCAAAGTTATTAGGACAAAGAGTAAATGATTGTAGCCTGAAATTTGTTGATTACGACTACCACAGTATTCCTAGAAGAAACTATTGTTTTTAAGAACCCTTGTGTATTAACGCAGTTAAATTTGAAATAATAGCAAATAGTTATGTTTTATTTATATAGGAGAGGTAATAAAATATCTTTTATAGTCGTGTTGACTGTTTGACTGTTTTTGGTAGGGGTGTTATGTATAAAAGTGTCAGAATAGTTTTAGCCATAAACTGGTTACAAATTCCATAACCGGATAAGGATAAGATTGATTATAAACACTACATTTATTTATGGCAAAATAACAAGTTAAAGTTTAAAATCTAAAAATTCATTTGGTACGGTTTATAAAACTTTAAACACGGTTATAAGGACTATCCTTGACATCCATGACACTAAACAAAACAAACTTAAATCCTTAAAAAAGTACAAAAAGACAACAAAAACATAAATCTCGAACTTGAGTCATAATATATCTTCAATTATATTTTCAGATTATTCAATATGTAATTGATACTAAACTATAGCGGTGGTTTCTGCAATTATGAATTAAAAATAATTAATAATGCTGAAATATTTACTTTTGTGTATTTAAAAGATAAACTACTATATGAAATAAAAGAAAATTGTTTTCAAGAAAAGATATTAAATCTAAAGTATTCATTACTAAACGTTTATTAAAGGTCATAAAATGATTGAATAATCTTTGAAGGAAACAAGGATAAACTAGTGAGTGTGCCATCAAATCAAACAATGTAATCCTTGTACAATTGTGACGATAAAGTTCGTATGTAAACGCTTATCTATATTCAACCAGCGTGAAATAATAACATAAGATAAAATGCTATTAAATGATTGGTTAATATCATATTCAGTTTGTAGTTTATGATCCAAACCTTAATTGATTCAATGAATTACACTTGTGAAAAAAATGGGTGTAATCACATGTTGAATGATGAATGAAACTTTAAATGCAATTTTATACCTGTCGTTTCTGTGTTCAGATAGAAACTGGTATAAAAGTTATTATTATATATATTAAGATAACCACATTATGTTAGCTAAGAACTAAAACAAACATTGAAAAATAAAAGATAATGATAACCTTAAAGTATAATTTTATACCTTATATTTAACTTAAAATACATATATTTTAATAAATTCCCTTAATTAAATAATTCTGGATCAGTTTACACACTACTGATGGTTAGAGTGACAATAGTGAAATAAGGAATGTATTATTTTTTCCTATTACATTTCTTAGGTACCACATTTTAAACATGTATATTAATTTCCTTAAGTTCGTGTTAAATGTACAAGACTTAAATGAATTTATTCCATTCGTGTAGAAGTTTTCCAACTACTCAAGGCAACATTAACATTTTTTCAAGTAAAATAAATATTACAAAATTGTCAAACATTTCAACAAAAACAGGTTGGAAGCCAACTCTTGAAAACTTACAAATTATACAATTTACTTCAATAGCAACAATAATAAGAGTCTAAGAACTTTACAGAAAAAAATATTTCTTTTTTTACATTTATCTGATTTTATTTCCTCCAGGACTGTCTCCCAATCTAGGCTTATCGGCAAGTTACAGAAATAAGAACTGCATGAAGTGTAATGACTTCAAAGCTTTCTTTTTTCTGCTTAAGTGGATTACACAAGAACAATTCTTTAACATACAAAAAAATCAAAATAAAAATATTCTTTTTAGAAAAGAAAAAAATAACACATCATTAAACGTTTTGTTTTCATTAACCCACATTTTTTAAAAGATATAAATCTGATCTACACAAGTTGGGTTTGTATTATTTCAAATTCATGAATTAATCTAAAATAAACCAAACATCACAAGCTTTGCATTTAACTATTAGTAGCCCGGAATTCCTACCCTTTTACTACGTTATCTAGTACGTCCGAAAACCAGACAAATTATTTACTACTGCTTGCTAGAAATAA